GTTCTCTCCAGAACCATGCCCGCCCCGTCCCTAGGCCAGGACCAGCGCCACAGGCCGTCCTACGGCCCTTGTCTGGTGACTGCATGTGGAGGAGTGAGCCAAGCCCATTTAGAAATGAACGGTGCTGTAGCGCCATCCTCTGGCCTGAAGCTGGCCATGCCCCCGGGTAATGAGGGGTGCCCTCCCACGGGGAGGCATAGCCTGACTCCACCCTCTCCACACGCAGTGGAGCTGGTCGCAGACCCGGAGGCTCGGACCGTGGCTGTGAAACAGGTACCGGTTCCTCGGCCATGTCTGCAGGTGGGGCCGGGGAGGAGCAGGCCCGGTGGGACCTGGGCTGGAAGGGAAGCAGGTGTGCCCCGTAAGGAAGTCCCGGGTGTTGCCCGCCTCAGTGCGGTAGCATCTACATTTAAATTGGGCAACACCGCGCGCCTGTGACCTTTCCGACGCCGATTGGCGGGGCACAGGGAAGAGGCGGGGCTTAGGGATCTGATTGGCGTGTAGAGAAAGGCAAGCCCTCTCCTGGGTTGATTGATTGGAGGTTGGGGGGTGAAGGGGGAGGACGGTGGAGCCAGTCCCAGCTCTTTTCTGTTCCTTTGCAGCTGGGAGTTAACCCCTCAACTGTGGGGACCCAGGAGCTGAAGCCGGGGTCAGAGGGCTCTCTGGGGGTGGGGGACACGCTGTATTTGGTCAATGGCCTCTACCCGCTCACCCTGCGCTGGGAAGAGGCCCCCGTGCCAGAATCCCAGCCAGATACTCCACCCGGCACCCCTCCGGTGGCCGCAACCGAGGAGGAGAGGGAGGAGGAGGAGGAGGAGGAGGAGGAACCGCAGAAAAAGCGAGTGCGGAAGTCGTCCCCTGGCTGGGAGACCTTCGAGAAGCTGCTGGTGTTCACCGCACCTGGGGTGAAGGCCCGGAGCAAGGTGAGGGCCACGCTGGGACCTGAGGGAGCTGTGTCCCTGGGCCGGTCACTCAACCTCTCTGAGCCTCCACTTTTCTAATCAATGGACCGGATAAATTCCGGGGTGGTTGTAAGCATGGGGGGGAATCCATGTATATCCACGCCTGCCTGATCCATGGTAACCACCCTGTAGCCATAGCAACGATTGGGCTTATTTTAGCAGGAGCTATTATGATGAGTATTTCTTAGGTCCAGAGAGGTCCTAATCCAATTGCTGTTGCACCACATTCTGAGCCCCTTTTTTCTCACCAGTAAATGGGGAATGCATAAACACCAGGTGGCGCAGCCGGAGGTGCAGTTCACGTCTCAACAGCACTCAGCCCTTGTCTCATTTACACGGCTATTAGCCCTTCAAGTGGAGATGGTCAGGGCAGTAGATGGACTCCGTTGTAAACATGGGAATCTAGCCTAGCTGGTGTGGCTCAGTGGATAGAGCGTCGGCCTGCAGACTGAAGGGTCCCGGGTTCGATTCCGGCCAAGGGCACAGGCCTGGGTTGTGGGCTGGATCCCCGGCAGGGGCCGCGCAGGATGCAGCCGGTCAATGATTCTCATCATTGATGTTTCTATCTCCCTCTCCCTTCCTCTCCAAAATCAATAAAAAAAATATTTTTAAAAATTTTTTAAAAAGATGGGAATACTGAGTGTGTAGGGAGAATAGGAGCCGGAAAGGGAAGGCTTTGGGCTCTGCGTTCAGGCATTGGGGCTGCACCTCGCTGTGCCTGTCGTCATGTATGTGTAGGCTCACCTGTGACAGAGGTCACAGTCCCTGCCTCAGGGTCGGTGTGTGCCAGCCTGGGAGTGAGGGCGTCAGAGGTCACTGTTCTTTTCTCGGCGGCGCCAGGTGGCCGGCTTTGACCTGGACGGGACCCTCATCACCACGCGCTCCGGGAAGGTCTTTCCCACCGGCCCCAGCGACTGGAGGTGATCAGCAGGGAAGGGGGTGAGTGAGGCTCCCTCCGGCCCTGGGTCACTTTGCCACCTTCCTGCCCACCCAGGATTTTGTACCCGGAGATCCCACGTAAGCTCCGGGAGCTGGACGCCGACGGCTACAAGGTGTGTGTGTGTGTGTGTGTGTGTCCGGCCCTGGGCAGGCTGGGCTGGGCATGGTGAGGGCACTGAGATACCCATCTGCTCCCCAGCTGGTGATCTTCACCAACCAGATGGGCATCGGGCGTGGGAAGCTGTCGGCAGAGGAGTTCAAGGCCAAGGTGGAGGCCGTGCTGGGGAAGCTGGGGGTCCCCTTCCAGGTACAGCTGCCGGGGGCTGCGCGGGGAGGGGCCGGGTCCCGGGTGGGATTATGGGGACAGAAACCCGTCGTGAGTGGCAAGTTTGGGGCAGTGGGAGCTGTCCTGGTGGGGAGGGTAGGTGGAGCCCCTGGGGTCCTGAATGACCTTGAAGGACTCGGTGCTGGAGGAGGAACGGTGTCTGACCCCCGTCCACAGGTGCTGGTGGCCACGCACAGCGGCTTGTACCGGAAGCCAGTGACGGGCATGTGGGACCACCTGCGGGAGCAGGTGAGCCACGCCCCCATCACTGTCTCCCCGCGAAGCCCCGCACCCCCGCCCAGCCTCCGCGCCAGCACCCTCAGCACCCTCCTCCCGTTCCGCGTTGGCGCTGGGCCTCACGAAGGCAGGAGGCCAGTGCTCTCCACTGAGGGGCGGGCGGGCCAGGCCTCAGCCGCTCGCCGGACTGAAGCCCCCTAGCCTGGCCCTGGGGCCGGGGGTCTGCCTGCGGTGCCATTGGGGCGGAGGCTCCGGTGGGAGGGGGCCAGGAGGGTGTGTGGGTTCTGATGGGCCTTCGGGCCGGAGTCACAGGAGCCAGTACCGAGCCGTGTGCTAGGGCGGCCGGTGGGCGCAGGCAGGGCCCGCCCGGGGGAGCCCTCGGGCCTGGGGGAGGGCGTCCACAGGAGGGGCGGCGCCCTCTGCCGGCGGAGAGGGGAATGCGCCTGCTGCTGTGGGCACCGGGTGGTGGGCACAGGCGTGGGCGGCTCCTCAGGCGGCTGTCTGCCCCCCAGGCCAACGAGGGCGTGCCCGTCTCCGTCGGGGACAGCGTCTTCGTGGGAGGTAAGGTGGGGGAACGGGGCTGACGGGGTCGGACACACAGGCCTGAGGCTGATGTGCCCTCTGTGTTCCAGACGCAGCTGGACGCCCTGCCAACTGGGCCCCCGATCGGAAAAAGAAAGACTTCTCCTGTGCAGACCGCCTGGTGAGCGCCCCCCAGCACCCCCGAGCCCGGCCCCCACCCCCCTCAGCACTCCCACCCCGGCCCCCAGCCCCCGCCCAACCTCCCCCCTCCCCCCAGTTCACCCCCCCAGTACCCCCACCCCCGCCTAGCCTCCCCCTCCCACCAGTTCACCCCCCCAGCACCCCCCACCCCCCCACCATGGCCCCCACCCCCGCCTAACCTCCCCTCCCCCCAGTTCGCCCTCAACCTGGGCCTGCCCTTCGCCTCCCCGGAGGAGTTCTTCCTCAGGTGGCCGGCGGCCGGCTTCGAGCTCCCAGCCTTCGACCCGGTGAGGCCCGGGGCCGGGTGTGGGGGGGGGATGCTGGGGGAGGGCCCCCCTCATGTCCGTCTGTCCGTCCCTGTCCCCAGAGGACGGTCCCCTCCTCAGGGCCGCTCTACCTGCCCGAGTCCAGCTCCCTCCTGAGCTCCGACCCCGAGGTGGTCGTCGCCGTGGGATTTCCTGGGGGTGAGATGCCCTGACCCCCGACCCCCGACCCCCAGGAGCTCTGACCCCCCTGCGCTCGCTCTAACACTGTGTGTCCCCCCCCCCCCCCAGCCGGGAAGTCCACCTTCCTCCAGGAGCACCTCGTGTCCGCAGGCTACGTCCACGTGAACAGGGTGGGTCCGCCCTCCCCCCCTGGGCCCACCCCGTGGATGTTTGTCCGTCCCCCGCGCTGACCCGCCGCTCCCTGTGCCAGGACACCCTGGGGAGCTGGCAGCGCTGCGTGGCCGCCTGTGAGGCCGCCCTGAAGCAGAGGAAGCGGGTCGTGATCGACAACACAAACCCGGACCCCGCGAGCAGGGCCAGGTGCCGGGGCCCCGGGGAGGCCCGTGTGTGTGTGTGTGTGGGGGGGGGGTGAGTGTGTGTGTGTGGGGGGGTGTTTGTGTGTGTGTGAGGGGGGTGTGTGGTGTGTGTGTGTGTGAGGGGGGTGTGTGGTGTGTGTGTGTGTGGGGGTGTGTGTGAGTGGTGGGTGTGTGAGTGTGTGGGTGTGGTGGGGGGGTGTGTGTGTGGGTGGTGGTGGGTGTGTGTGTGTGTATGATGTGTGAGTGTGTGTGTGGGGTGGGTGGTGGGTGTGAGTGTGTGTGTGTGAGTGTGTGGGTGTGGTGGGGGTGTGTGTGTGGGGGTGGGTGTGAGTGTGTGTGTGTATGATGTGAGTGTGTGTGTGGGGTGGGTGGTGGGTGTGTGTGTGTGTGTGTGTGTGGAGCCCGGGGCCCCTTACCAGCCCCCCCCCCCCCCCCCAGGTACATCCAGTGCGCCCAGGAGGCGGGCGTGCCCTGCCGCTGCTTCCTCTTCAGCGCCTCCCTGGAGCAGGCGCGCCACAACAACCGGGTGAGTGCCCCCCCCTGCCCCCCCATATACCCCCCTGCCCCCCCACACCCCCCTGCCCCCCCCACCCCCCTGCCCCCCCACACCCCCTAACCGGCCGCCTCTGCCCGCAGTTCCGGGAGATGACGGACTCCTCTCACGCCCACGTGGCTGACATGGTCATGTTCGGCTACAGGTAGGCACGGCCACGTGGGCCGGAGGGGGGGCTCGGGGCTGGGCCGCGCCTGCCCTCACCGCCCTCTGCCACCAGGAAGCAGTTCAAGGCGCCGACGCCGGCGGAAGGCTTCGCCGAGGTCCTGGAGATCCCCTTCCGGCTGCGCCTGGAGCCGCAGCTGGAGCGCCTGTACCGCCAGTTCTCCGAGGGCTGAGCCCCCCCCGCCCCCAATAAACGCGTTTCCTGTCCGCCTGGCCAGCACGTTGCTGGGAAGGGGGGCCGCGCCCCGGGGCGCACTGGGCCCCTCCTGGCGCGGGCGCTGAGGACAGGGGCCGGGCTTTTAAAAGACTTTATTGGGGAACATACATGATGGCACTGTCTCGGGGCGCTGTCCTCCGTCTCGGGGGGCAGCTGCAGGCTCCGAGGGCCCCCGCTCAGAGCATCTGACCTGGAACGCGCAGAGGGAGACCTGGGTGGGCCCTGCCTGGCTCCCCGGACTCGGGGCTGCAGGGCTCAGGGGAGGGGACGGGGTGCGCCTCCCGCCCGGCCACTCACCAGTGCCACCGGGGCCTCGTCGGTGACTCCTGGCGGGGCCCAGGCCGGGTGGCCCTAGCCCCCCATCTGCAGGGAAGAAGCGGGGTCAGCAGCGGGCCAGGCCGCAGGAGGCAGCGCGCCCTCAGCCCTCGCGCCTCACCCCGCGCTGCTGCTGCTCCTGCTCCAGGTTGCGCTGCAGGACCTGCTGCTGGTTGGCGATGACGCGCCGGATGCCGTTGACGAAGTTGCCCTGGTCGTGGGGGATGAGGCCGATGAAGATCTTCTTCTCGGAGGAGTACAGCAGCATGAGCACGCGCACCTCGCACGCGGCCTTGTAGGGGAAGTGCACGCAGCCCGCCTGGGGGTACAGGGCGTGTCACCGGCTCACCCTCAGGCCGGCGGCCCTCGGCGCTGAGCCCAGTGCGCCCGACTGCTGTCCCCGCGGCCTGTCACTCCCACTCGGGGACACGGAGCAGCCCAGGGCACCGGCACCTGCTGTGGGGGCGCCACAGGGCAGAGGCACAGAACACCCCGAAACGGGCCTGGGCAGCGTCAGGGTCGCAGTGACCAGGCTGGCAGAGGCCTCACCGGGAAGGACACCGGACACCGAGGCTCCTCACTCGGGGATGCCTGAAGGCAGTGGGCTGGGAGGGGGGAGGCTGCCCACACACCAGTCAGGGACGAGGCTGAATGCAACAAGGACCCTGGTGGGAGGGCCACGTGCTCCCCACAGTCCCCTGGCTCTTCCCTGCGCAAGGCCAGGGTCAGCAGCACAGCCCAACAGAGCTGGAGGACTCGCAGGTCCTCAGAGCCGGCGGGGAGGCCTGGCTGTGTCCCCACCTCTGGTGAAGGTGGGGAGGGCGAGGCGGGACACACACACACACACACACACACACACACACACACACACGTCTCCAGGAGGCGGCCTGGGGCGAGCCCAGTGCACGCCCCTCGCTGCACCTGAGCCAACGGTGACAAGGCCGTGTCAGGGAGCGGGCAGAAGGCCAACCGGGCACACGGGCCTGAGCACATCAGCCCCAACACACAGCCACCCGCAGTGCGACCACAGCCACTGGGACGAAACTGGGCCGAGGGGCGGCTGAGGCCCGCCCACAGCAGTGCGGCCTGGGAGCAGACCCCGCCGGCCCGCCTGCCAGGAGCCTGGGGTTTCCCTCTGGGACCGCCCGCCCCCGGGGGAGGAGGGGCAGGTGGTCACCCCAGCGCCACGGAAACGCAGACGCAGCGGAGAGGGCGGGCCTGCAGGGCCAGTCCCGCGCGGCTCCTGGGGACGCAGGTTCCCGTCTGTGAGGGGGCAGCACGGCCTCAGGGCTGCCGGTGCCTGGCTCACAGCAAATGTGCCACCGGGGCCGCCCGCCCCGCCACTCACAAAGCCGTTGTCCATGATGCGGCACAGGCTCTTGAGCGTCTCCAGGTCCTTGGTGAAGTGCAGCTGCACCAGGCGCGAGTTCCGGAAGAGCGGCACCAGCGTGGTCTGCGGGAGGGGCGTCCACACTGCCCGCCGAACCCCACACCCCGGGACCCCTAAGCCAGGCCAGGCCCCCGGCCCAGGCCCGTCAGGAGCCGCCCCTCCTCCTCCAGGGGACATGGGGGCCCCCGGGGAAGCCCCCGGGCACTCACGAGCAGCTGCTGCGGGATGAGCTGCATGTACAGCTTCCTGGGCCACTGCTCCGTCCGCCTGCGGGCACGGGGCCGGGTCAGAGCCCCCCCCGCCCCCCCCCCCCCCCGGCCCCCTCGGCCCCCCGGCCCCACACTCACAGGATCTCGCCCTGGTTCACGTAGACGTGCGACGGCAGCCACCTCTTGTTCCGGTTGTTGGGATCAGGCCTGGGCTTTGGGGACAGGCACGGGGTGGCATCAGGAGTGGGCGGGGCCTGGGGGGGTGCACTGGTCCCCAAGTGAGCGGCCGCCCCGGCTCACCTCCTGCCACTCCATGACGCCGCTCCACGCCAGGAACTTGTTGTTGACGATCTGGACCGGCCCCGCCACGCCCCCGGGGCCCACCGCCTGCGGGCGACAGGGTGGGGGTGTGGGGTGGGGGTGGGCTGGTGCCTCAGCACCCCAACTCCCTCCCCTCCCTGCCCCAGCCCCCTGCCTACCCCCCAGACCAGCCACGGCTTCTCAGCCTCAGTCTGTCCACAGCCCCAGACGCCCCTGGAGCCGGGCCTGCTCCTCCTGCCCACGCTGCCCCGTGCCCAGGACAAGGACCCGCCCTCAGCCGAGGGCAGAGCCCACAGGGTTTGCCTGTGAACTGGCCGCTGTGAAATGCCCACAACCGGGGGCACATGGCTGAGCCTGGTCACCCTGTAGGGCCTGCGAGCCTCACACCACCCTCCCCATGACCAGGCCCCGGCCTGGCCCTCCCCCTCCACACACACACACACACACACACACACACACACACACACACCTCACACCACCCTCCCCATGACCAGGCCCCGGCCTGGCCCTCCCCCTCCACACACACACACACACCCCTCACACCACCCTCCCCATGACCAGGCCCCGGCCTGGCCCTCCCCCTCCACACACACACACACACACACCTCACACCACCCTCCCCGTGACCAGGCCCCGGCATGGCCCTCCCCCTCCACACACACACACACACACACACACACACACCTCACACCACCCTCCCCGTGACCAGGCCCCGGGCTGGCCCTCCCCCTCCACACACACACACACACACACACACACACACGCACCTGCTTGCGGGTGGTGATGACCTGGCGGATGGCGTTGACGAAGCCGCTCTGGTCGTAGGGGATGAGGCCCATGAAGATCTTCTTCTTGGACGAGTACAGGAGCATGAGCACGCGCACCTCGCAGGGCGAGATGTGCGGGAAGAGCATGCAGCCCGCCTGGGGGGGGGGTCGGAGGTCAGGGACCCAGGCACTGCTGAGGGGGCCGAGTGCCTTCCTTGACCCCCAAGCCTGCCGGCCTCAAGTCCCCCGAGTCAACCCTGAGTTCTTAGCGCAAGAGGCGCACAGCCGGAACGTTCTGAGCGCGTGAGCCTGCGGCTCCCCCACCCTGACCCTGGGCCCTGTGTGTGCTAGGAGCCTGTCTCCCACCCGGCCCAGCGCCGCCCTGTGGAGCTGTGAGGACACTGCTGGTGCGGGCAGCCGCCAGGAGGGCGTCCCCGTGACCCGTATTCCGACAGCGCAGCCAGGAAATGCCGCCGTGAGACGCCAGCGCCCTCTCGGGGATGCTGGAGAGCGTGAAGCTGACCCGGCCCCACTGGGGCGTCAGACAAAGGGGAGAACCCCTCCTGCGACACCTGCCTGAGCCTGGTCCCCAGTTCAAGCCCATGGTCCCTCCCTCATGGGATCCGCCGACCAGGGCAAGAGCATGACGGACAGGCCTCAGAGGGCGACCCCACCGCCCTGCAGCCTGGGCCCTTAGCAGAGGGGCTGAGTGCAGGGTCAGACAGGACCCACACAGGGGGAGGGATCTGCGGACATCAGGGTCGGGGCACACGGCACCCCCCCAGGAACAGGGACTGCAAGGGACCCCCGAGCGAGCCCTGCGGACTTCCTCGGCAGAGGGCTGGCTCCCACGTCGGCCACCGTCTCTGAGCTGCTTCCTGACGACCCCTGGGAGGGAGCGGCGCTCACCAGGCCCAGCTGAACGGCCTGACAGCCGGCCTCCGCGTCCCAGCACGGCTGCCTCGGCAGCTGCCGTTCACTGAGCACTTACTATGCGCCCCCTCAATCACATGACAAGACTCAGGCCTCCCGCTGGCCCTGGAAAAGCCCTCCCGTTAACCTTAACCCTCTTATTGACAAGCCGAGCCCCAGCCCAGACCAGTCTCTCCTGGCTCACCCCCCTGGTCACCCCATTACCGGTCCCAGGACCCACAGCCCGGGAGCCACCGAATTTCTGAGACCTGGGGACAGACAGGCCGAGACGGCTCCCCGGGCCCTAGGAGAGCTCAGCGGGGCCCCGGCCGCTGTCCGGGCCCGGCCGCTGTCCGGGCAGAGCGGCCACCGCAGGGCCCGGAGGAGCCCGCCCGCCCTCAGGCGCCCCCCCCCCCACGCCCCCCCCCCCTCAGGCCCCCGCCCCGTCCCGCCCCGCCCCACCCCGCACTCACGAAGCCGTTGCCCATGACGCGGCAGAGCCCCTTGAGGGAGTCGCAGTCCCGGTTGGTGAAGTGGAACTGCGCCAGCTGCGAGTTGCGGAACAGGGGGCCCAGCGTGGTCTGGGGGCGAGGGGACAGCTGGGTCACCCGGGGCGGGTGCTCTGGGGAGCAGGCTCGGGGCTGGGGCAGGTCTTACCAGCAGCTGCTGCGGGATCAGCTGCATGATCAGCTTCTGAGGCCACTGGTCCGTCTCCCTGTGGGAGGAGAGGGTCAGGGGGCCCGGCCCGGCCACCAGCCCGCCCCCACTGCCCGCGGCACTCACAGGTTCTCGCCCTGGTTCACGTAGGCCTGGCAGGGGAGGGTCCGCTTCAGCTTGGCGGTGGAGTCAGAGAAGGGCCTGCGCTTCTGTGGCAGGAGAGTCTGGCTCAGAGGCAGCCCCCCGGGAACCGGGCACCCCCACCCCCGGGCGCACCGGCCGGCTCGCACGCTCACCTCCTGCCACTCGAGGACGCCGCTCCAGGCCAGCAGCTTGTTGCTGAGCCGGTGCTCGGCCACCGCCAGGCCCCCGAGGGCCAGGCCCGGCGAGGAGGGCCCGATGGGGCCCAGGGCCCCGAACACCCGGGCCCCTGGCTGCGGGGAGGAGGGACCACTGAGCTGGCTGTTCCCCACGTGCCCCCAAGGAGCCACCCCAACGTTCAGACCCAAACGTCCCGCTGGGCTGAGACCTGCCTGGCTGACCCGTCCGCCCCCAGCCCACACTAACGGCCTGTGTGAGGTCGCTGCCAGCCTGCCCCCTCCGGCCTTTCCCGCTGGCTCAGCAGCGAACACCATCAGCCCTCCTCTGCGCCACCCACTCACCCTCCCAGCCTGAGCCAGTGGATCCCTCTGCTGAGACCCAACTCGAAAGCCAGCTATCTGGGGCCGGGGTCTCCATGGAGCCCCCGCCATGCACAAGCCATCCGGGCCTGTGTCTGTCAGTCTGTCACCCTGGGCTGCCCCATCCTGCCCACGCTCAGAGCTCATGACTAAGCCCAGACTCTCCCTCGTTCCTGCCAGCCTCTCCCGCGGCTGCTGCCGCCCCCCTTTCTTCCTTCATTCCCTCCTTCCCTCCCTCCCCCCCGGCGCCCCAGGTCGCAGCCATGTCAGGCTGACCCGAGGAGGCCGGGCCGGCGCACACAGTACAGAACGACACAGGCTGTGGAGGCGGCAGTGCCGACGCCTGGAGGGTCTCAGAGCTGCGTGTGCAGAACACAGAATGTTCCAGCAACAAAGCCCAGCAGAGGGTCCTCCCAGCCACCTTCACACCAAACACATCGCCCAGCAAACACGGGAAGCTTCCCAACAGCCCCCAGCCCCGAAGCGGGAGCCCCGACATGACAAAGCTCACTCCCTCGGGGGCCGGGCAGCCAGATAAGCGAGTGAATAAACCACAGGCGGTGCTTCCACCCATCGCTCGGGCGCCAACTTCCCTGCGAAGCGCACAGGTGTCCTCTGCTCTCCAGTAAGACGGGCAGGAAAGAAGCTTCAAGAAGCAAAACCGCCTGAGCAAGCGTGCCCTCCATCCCGGCAGCTGCAGGGGGAGGCCTGGGGCAAAGGGGGTGCTCCCCGCCCAGCGTGTCCGAGGGGGGGATTGGGGCAGCCGGCCGGACAGACCCCGGGACGCCGGCCAGTGCGAGCGGACCTGGGAGGCAGGGTGACCAGCCAGGACCCAAAGGGGTTTGGTCTGGGGTGTGAAGGCCAGGGGTGCCTGCCAGCCAGGAACACCCGCAGCAGCAGGAGGGGCAGGCCCAGGCGAGGCGGGGCCCCCTGAGGGAACCCCACATCTGGGCAGGTGTTTGCAAAACTTAGCTCGACATCCGATTTGCTTTCTGCACGGGGAAGCCTCGCCACACGCGAAAGGGTGAGGGCTTCCTGAGGGGGTGTTAGGGTCCAGCAGAGCCCGGGGATGCTGGGGGAGGAGGGGAGGCGGGGGAGGAGGGGCATGTTTAAGTTCGCAGGGTGTCCCGAGTCTGGGTGTGAGACCGGAGGAAGCCTGTGCGCCTGGCGGGGCCGTGGAGCCGAGACGCGGGTCTGCGCCCAGCAGCGGGCAGGAACCTCCGCGGGGCGCGCGGCCGGCCCGCCAGAGCGGCTTTGTTCGCGTTTGGAAAGTGTGTCCTGCGTTTGCCCTCACGGTCCGGGCAGCACCACGGCCCCGAGGGCGACACCTGGGCGCCGGGGCACGACGCACCCCCTGCCGCCGGCCCCCCATTTCCTGTCCGGAGAGGGGCCAACTCTCCCGCTGGAAAGCAAGCGCGCGCCGACCACCAGCCCCCCAGCCCCGTCCAAACGCGGCGGCGGAGCCGGCGGTAACCTGAGCCCGGCCCGCCCCGTCCGCCGCCCCCGCCGCCCCCGTACCCCACCCCCGCCGAACCCCACCCCCGCCGCCCCGGCAACAAAGGGGAGAGCCCGGCGCGAACCACCGAGGCTTCCACGGGGGAACACGGCCCGGGCGGGACCACCCTCGGGGCCACGGGAGACCCCAGAGGAGAGGGGGCGGCGGACAAAGACGGGAGCCGGGGGCGGGGCCGTGGAAGGCTCTGGAAAAAGGGCGGAGGGGGCTCACCATGGGAGGAGCCGAGCGGGCCCGGATCCGCGGCGGCTGCGGGCCCCGGGGGCCGGCGGGCCAGGAGCGCGAACGGGCGGCGCGCACCGTGAGGGGCCGCGGGGGGCGGCCGCGACCCCCGAGGGGGCCCCCGGCGCCGGAGCGGTGCGGGGCGCGGCGCGGGCGGACCATGACGGGTGCGAGGCGGACAGGCCGTGCGGACGCCACGGGCCGCGCAGGGGGCTGCGGGCTCCACCGACTGAGGGGCGCGAGGGGGCGGCTCTCGGGGCAGCGGGACGGGCCGTACCAAGCGCGGGGGCCGCGCCGCCGGAGAGGGGTCGTCGCGGCCGAACCACTGCGGCGGGCGGGGGGAGCGCGGCGCGTACCAAGCGCGCCGAGGGGGCGTGGCCGGCGTGTACCAAGACGTGGCGGGGGGCTCCGGGAGCGAGAGGGTGTGTCGGGCGCGGAACGAGGCGATTGGAAGACACACGGGGCCTCCAGCGAGGGCGGGAGGACCCGAGGGGACGGGTGGGAAAACACTTCGGGGGGTGGGGGGGGGGTGTCCTGGCCGAGACTGTACCAACGGGTGGAGGGGGAGTCGATAAACGTAGAGGACGCTACCAAATTGGCTCCGGGTGGGGGGCGGGATCCGGGAGATTTTAGCCGGAGTCCCGGACCCGCGAAGGCGGGGGACTGCGAGAGATTCCAGGGAAAGAGTAAGGAAAAACGGGCTTTCGGGCGAGGGAACCTACCTAGAGGTTTGTTGATACGGACCGTACCATGCACAAGGGGAGGACTTAAGGTTTGAAGGCCGTGACGTGGCTAGGTCGGCAGACCACAACTCCCAGCGGTCCCCGCGCGGCCGTCTGGGCCTGGGGAGACGGTGGGCCGCAGCTGTGCGCCCATTGGCCCCGCTCCTAGGCCCCGCCCACAGCCCTCACGCCTCGGCTGCGCCTCTCCTCGCAGCCGCCCCGCAGGACCATTCATTGATTCCCTCCTTCATTCAGGTAAATGGCTGCTTGTTCACTTGTTAGTTGTGTAAGATTTCTTGCTTCAGTTTCCCTGTGTGTGTGTTTTTTTAATACTCACCCGAGGATATGTTAATTGGTTTTTAGCGAGAGAGGAAAGGAGGGAGAGAGACATGGATGTGAGAAACATCCATCAGTTGCCTCCCTTAGGGCCAGACCCGGGCCCTAAGGGAAACCTAAGTATGACGACAGACCAGGTCTGTCACAGAGCCCCCAGCCCAATGGGCAACATACATCGCAGTCGTTCTTGATGTGTTAAATAGAACAAGGGCACAGAGCAAGGGATGGTGACCATGAGAAGCCAGGAAAGTGACCTCTGGGCAGCCTGTGGTTCTACATCGGCTGGAAGAGCGTGCTGCGATGAGGAAAGAGGGTGCAAATCCAAAACAAGGGAGGCCATGGGGGCGGGGGGGGGGGGAGAGACAGCAGTGGAAGCTGGGAGGGTCCCTGTAGCCTTGGTATGGAATTTGGATTTTAGTCTCGTTTTGCTGGGAAATCACCAAAAGGTTTCAGGCAAGGGAATGAGTCTCACATTTTAAAAAAATCATTCGTCGGATGCAGAGTCATGCACACAGTGTCAGTACAGACATACAGAAGCTGGGATCCACAGTCAGCTCTGAGGAGACAGGGCAGCAAATGGGAGTGGGAGGGGGGCACAGCCGTGGGAAGGAGGCTCAGTGTACTATGTCAGATGATTTGAAGTTTTGAACATATATAGGAGTTGCCTATTGAAAAATAACTTTTGAAAGTTTTAAAACCTTTTCAGGGACCCCTCTGGCTGCTGTGTTGAAAATAAGATTGTAGGGCACATGTGTCAAACACAAGGCCCGCGGGCCAAATCCGTCCCGCCAGGCCTTGCAATGTGGCCCGCACCGCGCTGTCATCACTGCACTCCGCTGCGTTTCCATCACAATGACAGTTTATGACTGTTCAGTAAACCATTCGGCCCGCGATTTAGGCTGGATTTTAGATTTTGGCCCCTTCTCTGATTGAGTTCGACACCCCTATTGTAGGGCATAAGTGGAAGCGGGAGGGCAGGAAGGAGACTGGCAAGAAACGGGGCGAGCCCTGGCCAGTGTTGCTCAGTGGCTAGAGCGTTGGCACCAAAGGGCTGCAAGCTGGATTCCCAGCATTTCCAGTCAGGGCACGTATCTGGGTTGCAGGTTTGATCTCTGCCCCGGTTGGGAAGCTTGCGGCAAGCAACCAAGCACTGTGTCTCTGTCTGTCACATTGATGTTTCTCTCTCATCCTCCCTCCCACTTTCTCTAAAACATCAACGGAAAAAGTGTCCTCTGATGAGGGCTGAATAAAAATAATCCAGGTGAGCCGAAACCGGTTTGGCTCAGTGGTAGAGCGTCGGTCTGCGGACTGGGAGATCCCAGGTTCGATTCCGGTCAGGGGCACGTACGCTGGTTGTGGGCACATCCCCAGTAGAGGGTGTGCAGGAGGCAGCTGGTCGATGTTTCTCTCTCATCGACGTTTCTAGCTCTCCATCTCTCTCCCTTCCTCTCTGTGGAAAATCAATAAAATGTATTAAAAAAAAATCCAGGTGAGCGGACACATGGCCCGGGCTGGGTGGCAGGCAGGCTAGCCACAGTGGAGGTGGTCATTGTCACAACTTATTCTCAAGCCGGAGCCCACAGGACTCGTGTACAGAGAGAAAGCGGGGGGCAAGGTTTCTGCTGTCCAGAGGTGTCTGTTAGGGAAAGGGAGCTGACTGCAGGAGCAGCAGGCTGGGGAGGCGGAGGCGGGAGGCAGAAATCCCTGCGTGCGTTTGAGATGTTGACTGAGCAATGCAGACAGAGTGAGGAGATGCAGCAGGGCGTCCTGGGCTCTGAGAGGAGAATGAATGAGTACAGAGATCACGTGTGTGGATGGAGACTGGGACACCACATCCCCTTAGAGGTCGGGCCCTGACACAGAGGCGTGACCAGTCAATTTCAAGAGGCCCCGCTCCGGGTCCTCTTTCCACGCTTGCTTGCTCCATCCACTGAGCCACCCGCCCAAGGATTTCCCAGGGCTAACTGGAGCCCAGCCCCAAACGTGTCCTGGATTGCGGCCAAACGGGGAGACAGGGATCCCTGAACCCAGACTTCAAATTTGGTACCAACATGCACCTCCAGGGCCCCGCTACCACCGTGTCAGGACGCCCAGCTGCTGGCGGCAGGAGGGAGGAAGGACCCTGATCTCCCGAAATCCCCATCTGTCACATTCTCTCTGGTTCACGCCAAAGATCTCTTGCCAGGATGACAGCCTGCTAGCCTTGTCTCCCACGGCACTAACAGGAACACTCCACTGGCCTCCCAACGCCCTAAGACTGAAAAACACACTCCTCACCGCAGCCCGAGGCCCAGCACCTTCCGCCCCTGCTGCGTCTCCAGCCTGATCGTCCTTCCTGCTCTCCACCTAGCCCGTGTCTCCCATCCTGCAGCTCCCATCGGCACACATACTGCCAGGGCTGTCTGAGAGGAGATCGGTGGGCCAGGACACGCTCCAGCATGACCAAAAGGAAAGCATGCCGGGTTAAGACGTGAAGACGCAGGCTGAATGCCACAGGAAACACCTTGCTTACCCAGGGCGGCAGTCTGAAAGACACTGTTCATGTCATCTGTGAACCTGGGGCCCAGCTAGCAGGCTGTTCTAAGTCAGGCTGCATGCGGCCTAGGAGTAGCTGTCTGTGGCAGTTGTTCCTAGGTTAATAACTTAGTCCTGGCAAGCTCATTATAATATTAATGTGGGGACTGTTCATATGCAAACCAGGTTGCCTGCATTGGAAAGGATAAAGTGAGTTGCTTTAAAAAAAAAAAAAAAATGCTGCCAAAACCTGTGTGGCTCAGTGGATAGAGCGTCGGCCTGTGGACTGAAAGGTCCCAGGTTCGATTCCGGTCAAGGGCATGTACCTTGGTTGCGGATACATCCCCAGTATGGGGTGTGCAGGAGGCAGCTGATCCGTAATTCTCTCTCATCGATGTTTCTAACTCTCTATCCCTCTCTCTTCTCTGTAAAAAAATCAATAAAATATATATATATATACATATATATATATATTTTAAAATGATGCCACAGCCGAAACCGGTTTGGCTCAGTGGTAGAGTGTCGGTCTGCGGACTGAAAGGTCCCAGGTTCGATTCCGGTCAGGGGCATGTGCATTGGTTGCGGGCACATCCCCAGTAGGGGTGTGCAAGAGGCAGCTGGTCGGTGTTTCTCTCTCATCGATGTTTCTAGCTCTCTATCTCTCTCCCTTCCTCTCTGTAAAAAAAAAACAATAAAAATATTTTTAAAAAATAAATAAATAAAAATGATGTCACATTCACTGCAAGCAAAGCAACTGTGAATGATTGAACAGAAAAGCTCATAAAAACCCAGGAAGACACAGTCTAAGTGTCTTTAGGTTCTCAGGTCACTTAAAAACAACCAACCAACTCTGGAAAAGATGCCTCCTGATTTGTGGGTCCAGTTTAAATAAATATGTTGTATGGTAACTGGAAAACCAGTACTGAAAAGGTGTTGGTCCTACCTAGAGACATCTGTTTCAATGTTCTTAGCCAGATGGAAACTAGTCCACTTCCTGAGGCCACTACGGTTGCGTGGGGTCACGGGATTGATCCTGGCCAGTGAGATCTGAGCACAAGTGACCTGGGGATTCAGTCTGGCACTTTTACTCCTGGGCAACATTTGAGATCTTTCAGAGGAGTGAGCCCTCTACCCAGCAAGAGGGAGAAAACCCATCTTTGCGGTGTGGAGCCACTGCAAGTTGCAGTCTGGGAGTTGTCATTAGAACATAACCCAGCCTGCCCGATACAGGCGTGTCCTTCTCCGGAATCCCATCTGGCCAACTTTTGTTGAATCAAATTCACGAGAGGGGAAACGGAGGTCATGTCGGTTGGATGTGTATGTGACTTCGACAAGAACATGAAGACAACATAGACAAGCGTGTGGAAAAGGCCATCCATGCCTTGGGTGTCCCGTTTTGTTTTTTTCAATTACAAAGTAACGTCTAACACGGCGGCCGCCAGCCTTTCGGACCCCGCGGAGCACCGGGTGGCGACGGCCGGTCTAAGAGGTCTGGCTGATGCACGCTCTCCAAAAGCTACGTATTCTTTCCTGAACTTTCTCATCACTGAGAGGGGTCACTGGGTGTGACTGGGAGCTTGGGAAGGGCAAGGACCACGTCTAGCATCTTCACGGCTCCATGCCAAGAGCCGGGCACAGGGCTCCGGGGTCTGTGGCCACCACGCCTCTGAATCATCGATCAGCTGCAGGGGGGCTGGTGTGTTCCGTGCCCTGGGGAACCGTTGTCCCTGCTCTCCCTGTGCTCGGCTGGGGAGCGTCACTTCCAGTCCCAGGCAGGTAAGAGCCGGGGCGCTGGGCCATGGTGGACTTAGGACGCCAATGGGGAGGC